TTGTTTTTCTTGCTGTAATTTTTTACATTTCCGAGTTTTCATTCTGTTTGTTGTATTATTTCCATCCATTCTGTTGATGAAGGCATAATAAAGAGGGTCGCACACGGCTCGTGTTGACACACCCAATTGAGGTTGCTTGTTACATGATAAATGTTTTATATTCGTTTGAGCGGGGTAGCGAATTAGAATATAAAGCCAGTTCCTTACCCGGTCAGTTCGGCCCGTTTCATCCCCGCTCAACGTTGGAATTGGTAGAAAAAACGCAAGGATTTTTGCTATGTGTACTGCCCCGAGAAAATGTGTTTCAGAATGGAAAGAGGACATAGAGTGGATCGCGCATCATACATACTCTGGTGTGAAAAAGTATGCAGCTTAGTTAGTTTGTGATTGTTCTAACAAGCTAGCATTGAGAAAAAGAAAACAGCCTTGGAGCCAGGATCGAATGTTTCTGACATGCTACAAAAAAGAGTGTGGATTTTTCCTGTGGATGGACCAGCCAATATCGCATGGTATCAAGGATCGGCTGTCGTATTCACCTCAGCCACGGGTCACAAGACTCCAACCTTATGGGGAGATAAAGGAGATGTTTGAAAAACATCGCCAAGAGGTTAAACAGAAAGCATTTATCCAACACCAGCGCCATACACGCAAATGTGACGAAGGCTTTGAAATGTGTGACAACGGTTTTAACAGTCTAGGAAGTCCCAACATCTTTCATGGGCTTAGATACAGAGAATGGATGCATGAAGTATGGGAATCGTACAAGTTTTATGTCCAAAAAATGAAAGAAGACTCTCGAGACAACCCAGATGCTACACTTTGACAAAGGTAGATTGTAAAAATTATCGGACTTGTCTATTAGGTGACTTTAATATCGACCTTTTTTCAAAATCTGCGTTACAAAAACGCTTTATTGCCCTAACTAAGGCCTATAGTTTTCATCAACTTATTACTGTTGCTACAAGTCCGGTATCTGGAACACTTTTGGACCATGTTTAGGTTAATTATCGAGATAATGTTCTGAAATCAGGCACTCTATCGTTGACCTTAAGTGATCATCTTCCTATCTACGTGTCACTAAAATCTAGAGCCATTAAGCTACAATCTGAAGGACACAAACCTATGCTTTTTCGCTCAAAAAAGAATTTTTCTGTTGATACCTTTCTGGCCGATTTAGAATGTTTACCTTGAAGTACAATGGATATGTATTCTGAGCCTAATGAGGCTTTAAGTCATTGGTATTCTTTATTTAAGAGCGTGCTGGATTCCCACGCTCCTTTGAAAAAACGCCTTGTCAAGAGGGAATTCATACCTGAATGGTTCAACAGTGAAATTCAAGCCGCAATTGCCACGCGGAACCATTTGCATAGGAAAGCGATTCTGACAAATGATGCATTAAATTGGCGCGAGTATCGTTCTGCGCGTAATAGAGTGGTTCATCTTATTCGTTATGCTAAACGCTCCTTTTACCGAAACTCAATTAACAATAATCTTAAAAATCCTAAAATCCTCTGGCGAATTATTCGTTCTCTTGCGCCTTCTAAATGTTCCAAATTACCAAATCATTTAACCATTGACGGGATGAACTATAATGATTATTATGATATTGCCAACTTTTTTAACGAGCATTTCGCCAATATTTCTTCCTCTGTTCAGTTAAATCATGCTTCTGACACACCTAACTGGGAGAGTATTGCCTATTACGTTGATTCCAAGCTGCCATCTGGAGTGTCCTATTGTTTTCCCCTATCTCTGAAAATTTTGTTAGAACTAGCCTCCAGCAGTTATCTACTAACAAGGCTACTGGGCTCGACGACCTTAGTAGCTATTTTCTAAAAATAGCAGCCTCGTCTATCTCTCCATCTTTGACTGCTATTTTTAATCTCAGCATTTCTTCTGGTGTTTTCCCCAATCTTTGGAAAACTGCCAACGTCTCTCCACTGCATAAAGACGGTTCGTTGTTTGACCGATCCAATTATCGCCCAATATCAGTTCTGGCTGTTGTCTCAAAAATTCTTGAGCGTCACGTGCACCAAACTTTTTAGTACTTTCTTTCCCAACACGACCTGCTGCTGGATTCGCAATTTGGTTTCCGTAGTTCTCGTTCGTGGGAGCTTGCTATCGCCGATCTTTCTGATAACATTTTGACTAACATGGATAACAAACTCCTTAATGGGCTTTTGTTAGTCGACTTGAAGAAAGCTTTTGACCTTGTGGATCATGATACGTTACTTAAGAAACTTCGTATCTATGGTTGTTCCCACTCTACCATGGTTTGGTTTCGCTCTTATCTATCCGGGCGTTCCCAAAAAAACCAGTTTAGGGGCACTCTATCTGAAGCACTTCCAGTCTCTGTAGGTGTGCCGCAGGGTAGTATCCTGGGGCCACTTTTTTCTTTATTATTCATATCAACGACTTGCCGTTAGAGCTACATTCAGACGTAACTTCAACTATGTTTGCGGATGAAACTACTATTCTTGTTCGAGGGCCCTCTGTTACTTCCCTCAGCACTCAGTTGAATGAAGTTGCTAGAACTGTATTTACGTGGGCCGAGAATAATCGAATGTCACTTAACACAACCAAAACTAAATCTTTACTTATTACGACCCTCCAGAAACGCCGTACTTTAACCAGCTCGGCACTCAATGTCCAAATCGATTGTAGATCTATTGAGCAAGTGGACTATGCCAAGATGCTGGGCGTTATGATAGACAGTGACATGTCTTGGGAGCATCATATCGATACAATCTGCTGCATCATTAACAGTAGGCTTTCTCTTCTCCGTCGCATCAAACCTTATCTTAACTTTGATTCTGCTTTAAGATTCTATAATTCTTGTGTTAACAACTACTTTATTTATTGTTCTGCTGCCTGGGGTAACTGTTCCCACCATCACGTCTTACGACTGCTTCGTCTTCAGAAGCGTGCTGGGCGTATACTCCTTGATGCCGACCTCTCTCAGGCTTCTATTTCTTTATTTTTAAAACTTAACTGGATTCCCGTTTTTGATCTTATTAAATACAGGAAACTTTTTCTTCTTTTCATCGTACTCCTTAATCCGAATGCTCCTAAATGTCTCAGGAACAGATTTCAATTTCTTTGTGATTCGCGTGGACCTCTGGGCCGTTTTACAAGAGCCTCTCTCTACGACTTAAAGGTGCCATGCCCAAATAGCAACTCTGGGAGACGCACCTTGGCCTATACTGCCACTAAACTCTTTAATGACCTCAGTTCCAACATAAAAGAGTTTTCTATTTCTTCTTCTCCACTGATATTTAAATTTCTTCCCTCCTCTCTTAAGTCTAAATTACGAAGTCTGTTTTTCTCACGCCTATCATCTGCCGAGCACTTGGAGGATCTACTGTGCGCGACTTGCCGCTATTCCATTCATTGTCACTGTACATGTTTTTCATAGTCCTACTACAACCACTATTACGTCTTTTAATTTATATTTATGTATATATGTATACATGTTCATTTATAGTACATATTTTGCCCCCCTTCGTCGATTTATATATTATTCATTACGTGTTTATAGCCTATTCTACTTTAAATATTGTCTCTTTTGTGTATATATATATATTTATAAATTTATTTGTTTTTTAGTCTTCTAAATTTATTTATCTATTATCTATTTTTTTGAGGGCCGTAGGTTAGAAAACTGTAATAGGTTATTGCGCTTCCCTCTTTAAATAAAGTTATTGTATTGTATTGTATTGTACCAGAAACTCATAAGGGGTTCGTTGAAACGTGTAACTCGCGTTCAATGCTTGTGAATATTCATTTTGACCATATTTGGAAATCTTAGTGACGGATATCCATTTTCAACAAAATGGCTGCTGCGCGATCACCATGCAGATGTTTTAAGACAAGAGTTCTGCATTTCAAGGTTAAAAATACACCGTTAAAAGACAAAAAATAGAAAGAGAAAGTTCAAAAGAGTGCTCAGCTTTCTTTTTGTGGAGAAAGGGAAGCTTTTCATCAGGAAATCGTCGTTCGAGGAATTCAACCTTGTTTTCTTCACGAGGGATCTCTGGTCTGTTTTGTACGGAAATGCAACCAAGGCAGTGAAGTTTTTGCTGAATTTTCAGGTACATTTTGCACTTTATGGCCAAGACAAAATGTGCCCCGATTTGAGATGGATTTTGTGTTGAATTTTGCCATGTGCTCAGCCGATTTCACTTGCGTGAACGGATCTACGATCCAGATAGTGTTTTCCGCATTGCTTTAAAGGATTAACTTTTTGGATTTAATTTTGAATAAAAATTTTCAAGAAACGGCTTCTCTGTCTATTGTTTTGAGTTTGTTCATTCATAAAATTAGCTTAAAACACGATCGTGACTACAACATTCACATTCATTACATACATCGGTTTTTGCGAAGATGTCAGGTTCAGGTTTTGGACACTTTTCAATACGCAGCTAATGAATTTTATTCGAAAATATTTTTTACTGTTTATTCTAGACTTTTAGTATAAGAATTTTAAAAGCCGGCCTATTTGCAGTACAAGTTTACTGTGCGGAGGATCAACGAGGCATCGTTGTTTGAAGTGACAACTTCAAGAAGTTGCGAGGACGTCAATGGGTTTCATAATGTTATGTTTGGCCCGGGTGGTGAGGCAATAATATCCTGCTCAGTGTTTCGGTAAGATGCCTGGTTTCAACCTTTGAAAGCTTTGTCGGCTTTCGGGAGTTTTTCCCTTGTTTGTGGGCCACTTTTTTCAAGCGAGCGCGGGAACCTGAAGTAATATTACGTCACGTTGTTTGCGAAGTTTGTTTGGTCAGTTATCTCTTCTTCTCGTTCCAAATTTGGTACTTTCGAAAATGAATAATCACGAGCATCGGACAAAGCAAACATATGAGAGTTACACGTTTCAACCCCTTATGAGTTTCTGATTGTACTTTGTTTAGAGAAAGATGATGTACTGCGTCAGGCGTACCACAAGTACGCGAGAGAGGACGGGCATCACCCCGAAAGTTACCGGGTGTTGAAGGTTTTGTATGAAAGACACATTGAAGGCAAACACGTACCTTTTCAACGTTATGTTATCACCCCTGAAGAACGTGAAGAGATTGAAAACGATAAACAGTTACCTTCTTATTCTAGAGCGTTTGCACAAGGTGCACGCAGATCAAAATGTATTGCTATGCTTAACATTATAAGGAACCCTAGGTCTTCCTGTTTGTTCTAAATAAAAATGTTACATCGCTGCCTGTGTGGAAATAGAGCTGTCTTGAGATCCTTTGAAAGATTTTTAAAGTTTTTGTGTGAAATAAAGTTTTATTCATCTTTACACCGCGTTAGTCACTAATTATGTTTAACAAATGTTTGACTCGAGCTCTAAAATTTGCATGTGAACTAGCTCGTGTGCCTTTTGTTTGACAAACAATAAGTCATACACAACACCTACTCTGATTCGAGTAATACATTTTGATCTGCGTGCATCTTGTGCAAACGCTCTAGAATAAGAAGGTAACTGTTTATCGTTCGATTCAGAGGTCACACACGTTTATATTCCATATATTCTTCGCTGATTAAATCGACCATACTTCTAATCAATCCCTTCGAGAGTGGGCCCCTGTTTATTTCTCAATTCTCCATCAAATTCAGAACAGTTTTTTTTGGTTGATTTTCTACAACGATCAGCCCTTTGAACCCGAAATAATAATACGAAATAAAGGCTTGATATACGTGCTTAAGCTAATTTTTTCAAACAGCGTCTATGGCAGAGAAAAATGGTTTTAATAAAACAAATTCCGGGGGGGGGGGGTACTCGCCTATAAAAGTGACGGGGGTGCTCGTCGAAAATTTTCGAGAACACCCCTTAAAGGTACCAGAATCTTGTTTTATGGGCGTGTCCCAAATTCATTTCCACTCCTAAGAGGTACCAATTCAACAACAACAAATTATATAACTGGCGCTGGAAATTTCAATAGTAAAAAAGATAACTTTCGAACAGTTTCTTCTCAAGGAGTTTTTGAAAATATTGTCATAAATCTTTATCTTAATCGGTCATTTAAGATTTAGCACCCTAAGCGGTACCAATTCACAAACTTAACCCCTAAAAGGTACGACGAGCACCCCCGTCACTGTTATAGGGAGTACCCCACCCGGGACAAACTCACTTCACCAAAAACTGAGTGGCACAATGGTGCAGTGGTCAAGGAGTTGCTTGCACGTGCAGATGAACCAGGTTCGACTGCCGGCGAGGCTGTTTTCTGTTTCTTTATTGTACAATATTTTAATCTGTGAGGGAATTTTCAGGTGGTTTGTTGAGCCAGATGTAGGAAGGATATTTACCCAAAATATGCATGTATTCGAGATGGTATGCAAACAATGAAATCCAAGGCCAAGACTAAAACAAATAGCTATATGTCTTTGCCAAATTATCAGGACTAACATACCAGGTTGAAATTTACCAAAATTATGCATAATTATCAAGTGAACACAAGATCCTGCCATGATCCTGACTGCGATTACGGTAGACAAAGTTTAACCCTTGCTATGAAGAATTTTAGTACTTGGACTAGTTTTCCACAAATTAGCATAGAAATGGGATGGGAAATGGGAAATATTTTTGGGATGTATATATGTTATTCACCGGCCTTGGTCGATCCGTACTGGGATTTGAGGTCCTGAGTACCACCCTAGGCTGTAGGCGAGGGAGGTACTCAGACCGAGGGCACAGTTTCTCTTTCTTATTTTTTTCCTACTGACATTTAAAAGTTTCTAGAAAATTTTACTTGAGCCTCCAGCCTATGTATGTTGAAGTAGAACGCGTTCGTGTTGATGAAGCGCGCGATCGATTGCAAACCAAAACAAAACATACAACGTGATTTTTAGCTTGTAATTTATATTATCACAATTCAGCTCTGAGCTCTTTCAGAATAAAGAAAGGTTTTTGTGTCTTGGTAGACAATTCATAAGCTGAGTGTCAAACAAAGACAAAAGAATTGACGAACTTGATATTAAAAGCCACAGGAAAAGAAAAACAGCAAAGATTTTCTTCGGCTAAATAATTACTTTAGGATTAGTTCAATCGAGCGGGATGAAAACTGCACAAGGCTTTATAAAAAGAGCTAATTACAGATACCAATCTTAAAATTGTGACTAAAAATAAATAAATATAATTAGCTTTAAAAAAGTACAATAAAAGCAACAAAAAGGATTCCTAACCTAGCTGGTAACCTCCTAACCCTAACCTAACTCAACCTAACCCTAACCCTAACCCTAACTCGAGCTTTCCTTCCATGATTGCCACGAAAACGCTCCTCTTAATGGTCATGGGACTTGCAGGAAGTCAAAATGGTGGGAGAGCGAAAATTTGTCGAGTCCTGCGTCGAGTCCTGGCTCGAAGTCTTGGCTCGAGTCCTAGCTCGAGTCCTGGCTGAGTCCTGGCTCGGTATATAGGCATCCTCATTGAAAGCTATTAAAACTTAAGGTTAAATGCAATCATTGACAACCTTTTCTGAAAAGTAGAAAACTAGCGAGACAAAATTCAGTGAAAAACTACAGAATCTAGATTCAGACAGCAAAAATGGAAAACAAAACTACAAACAGTGTATAGCTGCCGTAAGGCGACCTCTTTTACCGATCAGCGCTAACAATAGACGCACAAGTTTATTCCGATTTGAGTCCTCGAGGGTTACAGCAATAAGCAAGATAGTAGACTATTGACCCAAAAGACTCGACTGACATTAGGTCGGATGTACCGTAATTTGCCGTATTTGATGTGTTAATTGAGTTGTGTTGTGTTGTCGTTTAAACTGAAATACAAGGTGAAAATATAACTTCAGAAATACTGCGAGAGCAAAGAAATACAGCAAAAATGAAATACAGCAAACGAATGGACAACGCACTTACATTGTTTTGGCGCAAAACTTCTGACCGCAAAAGAGATACTCCTGATAGGAAACTACTACTTAATGCTCTTGAAGAAACAACGTTGAAATAAAAGCTGAACTGAAAATGCTAGATGGAGAAGGTCACCCCTGCACATTGCGTTGATTGTAGTGAATCCTTTATTAACCCACAATCATTTATTTTTTCTTGTTGCAAGACTGTTCACAAAAATTTCACCACTTTGAAAAAAAACAAGATCTACCAAACAGAGGAGGGTCTGATGTCGAACACTTCACTATCAATGGAAATCAGTTTCTCGCCTTCGCAAACCATAATAGTGATACCGAAGGACTTAACATCGACTCTTTCATCTACAAAGAACGATTCAACTAGAATTTTTTTCCTTTATCAGACTTTAGGCACACATGGAGGCATTGACATGGAATATTTTAAAACTGGTGATCAACATTACCTGGCTGTCGCAAATTTTGAAAATGGAACTTCGTACCGACTGAATTCAGTTATTTACCAGTGGAGTGTGAGTCAGGAACAATTTGTCGTCTTTCAAAGCATTGAAACATTTGGAGCACACAGCTTTGACTTCTTCGAAATAACAAATGAGCAGTTTCTTGCCATTTCAAATTATTATGATGGCTCCTCGCACAGTATCAACTCATCCATCTACAAATGGAAAAGTAATAAATTTGAAAAGATTCAAGACATAGCAACCGAGGGGGCTGTTGATGCTGAGACCTTTGCAATCAGCAATGAAACTTTCCTTGCTTTTGCAAATCATTATACCCAACAAAAGCGAGTATTAGTTCAGTCAGCTATGTTCAAGTGGTCAGCGCAGCAATTTGTCAAACTGCAGTCTTTCCAGACATATGGAGCCCGAGATGTGAAGTCATTCACTGACAACGGTTCTACTCTTCTCGCGTTTGCAAACTACCAACGGGAGTCGCAATACGATATCAATTCTCCCATTTACAAGTGGAATGGCAGTCATTTTGTCAAACTTTTCTGGGTGTACTATGTCAGTGGTATATCGAGTTTCTCAGGAACAGTTCATTGAACATCAACAAATTCCAATCCAGGGAGTTTTTGGTATGACGTCATTTCAATAGAAAGGCCATACTTACCTAGCAGTTGCAAATCCTTATTCTAACAAATGGAATATCAACAGTGTGCTGTATAAGTGGGCCTAATATGGGGCGCCTCGCCAACAAAGGTGCACTGACATAGATATCTTTGGGTCAACGATTTCATGGTTACCTCTAGAAGTGTCGTTTCAGTAAATTTACATCGCTAGAAGTTATTTAATGTGAACATAGTATTCCTAATATCGAGGTATAATACAGAGTAGATTACGTGAAAGGGATGCCATTTATCCCAAACATGGCACGTAAAGGGGTAAGGGGTTGAACCGCCTCGATGGAGCCTCCCCGAATATAACTTTCTTGAATGTCCCTTCCCCGTAATTTATGTCAGTTCCAACTGTCGATGCGGGGTCAAGGCTTTTATCCAGTTGTCACTTCCCCTATCAATTATCCGATGTCCAAGTTAAGACAATGGAAGCTCAGAAGGACCTTGAGGTTTTAGTTACCAAACATCTGAAGTGTAACTCCCAAGTGTTGGCACCTTGTTCGAAGGCCAAAAGGATGCTTGGATTTCTCCGGAGATCAGCTTTCGACACTGATGACCAGCGAGCTCGCAAGTTACTTTACCTGTCGCTAGTTCGCAGCAACCTCGCATATTGCTCGCAGGTGTGGGTTTCTCAAGCTGTTAATCTTATCCTTGACATCGAAAGAATTCAGCGGCGCGCAACAAAATTCATTCGGTCTTTGCCGTATCGCTCTGAAGTTAGTTATAAGCAGAGGCTTTTGAAAACTGGACTACTACCATTATGTTTATTGGCACGAATTTTTAGATTTGTCGTACGTATTCAAATGTTTAGTTATTCTATCGGACCCTTTTATTTCAGTCGTGAATTCCACTAGACCCAGGCGTACTGTCTCCTTCAAGGGTACGCTGTTGAATACGGTTAGGGCCAACACCGTCACCTTTGAAAACAGTTTTTATTGTACAACCCCAAGAATCTGGAATACTTTACCAGCCCACCTCCGGAACACTGACTGTTTAGTAGCGCACTTTAAGAAAGATCTTTTTAATTACTACTTGTATCTCACTAAGGCTGTTTATGATGTAGACAACCCCCAGACCTTTAAGAGTGTGTGTATTAAGTGCCACACTAGTCGGCCATTGAACTGCTTGCTCGATCGTATGTGTTGTTCATTTTTTATCGATGTCCTCCCCAATTCTGGTTTTGCATTTGCATTTCTTTTTTTGTCGTTTCTAAAGTATTGTCATTCTTGCTAGTTTTTGTTACTAATTTCCTTTTTTTCTTTCTGGAACTCGTAGTGGAGCTTGCTCTGTGAGTGTCGATAAATAAATAAATAAATGTAGGTAATGATAACAATTTCTGCCTAAAGGTCAGGTCTGAAAACGGGTATGGATTTTAGAGGTCTGATCTGAAAATGGGTGTGGAAAATTACATTTTCTTCGTCTGAAATAGGGTAAGGATTTGAAGAACCGGGCGGCACACCCCCACCAAGAATTACCAAGAGTACCCCCCACCCGGGATTATTTCGCGGCTGCTGTACTCGTACAGGACGCAACAAGGCACAAGGAGAAGTTTTTCAGGCCGCTTAAGTTTGTCATTTGGAGTCTCAGAACTATCAGCACTGAGTGACAATCGACTACATGAAAGTTGTGATGTCGAATTATGCGAGAAATGAAGTAATCCTGGCTCAATTTCGTCTTACCTCTGCAAGTACAAGCTATTATCCAGCCACCAGAGCGGAAATCATAAATTTCACTCCACAGAAACTATCAACCATGTCGTTACCGACTCCCTCTTCGAAGCCTTGGACGCTGAAGAGATTTCTATGCTTATCCTCCTTGATCTTTCTAAAGCTTTTGAAAGCGTGGACCATTATATCCTCCTCCCCAAGAACTCACGACTTGGTTCTTTTCCACTGGTATATATAGCTGGTTCGCAAGTTACCTATCTAACCGATCCCAATAATATGCGAATCGGTACTCTAACTTCATCAACGCTGCCATTAACACATGGAATAACCCAAGGCTCCATTTCGTCAGCTCTTTTGTTTACAATTTACACCAATGATTTACCACCTACTCCTAAGATCTGCAAATTGGAGTCTTATGTAGATGACCCTAAAGTCTTTTTTTCTATCCTCAGGGGCACCCAGCGACTTTTTTCTGTAAAATAAGTGTTCGACGGAGCAAATATTGTCTAGAAATTTCTAAAGCTTGAGAAAAGCTAAAAATTTCTGGATAACGGTTCCATTCGTCTAAAATATTCGGAGGTTTTCTAACAGTTTAACTACGATTTTCGGAGGTTGTGTTATCCACATTTTAATATAAGATATTGCGATTATTGTTAAATAAAAATCTCCTAAAACTTTCGGTATAAAGACAAAACGTTCCCTATAATTTTGTAATGAAAGCAAGGCTACTTCATGTCCTCGAGCTTTCGACCGGACCCATAAGGGTAGCTGACACTTTCGGATGAGACGAAAAAGCTACCTAAAACTTTCTTGACGACCTAAGTTCCTCTAAGACATCCGAACAGATAAATAGTTTTTAAGGCAACTCCAAATTAACCAAACGGACTTCTAAAGCACAGAGAAAACCATCTGAGACATTTCTGGCGTATTTGGAAACATTCGGTCATTGGGTGCCCCTGTTTCCTTTAGTCTAACCTCTGAAAGCAACATCAAGAAACTAGAACTTGTCCAGAATTTTGCAGCCACAATTATTATTTGCAGGCAAAAGTTTGATCGCATTACTCTGGCGTTAGGTGAATTTGAAATACCTCCCCATTAAAGAACGTCTTCTTTTTAAAAACGCATTATTAACGTTCAAATACCTCAATGGTTTGGCAGCATACTATTTTTGTGAGAAATTTATCAAAGAGTCGTTCCATCAGAAACAGTACAGATATAAACATCATTCCCCAAGTATGCTGCATGCGGTCTCTTTTCCTACAGAGCAACTAAGATTTGGAACTCCTGAGATAAATCACTGAAACACGTCATGAATTTTAAAACTTTTAAGAGATCACTCAAGGAGTATTAGTTACAGAAATTTCTTTTTAATTATTTAAAGTTGTTATTACTATTTCAATTTACATGTATATTAATTAACCTGTATCAGGAATGTTAATAAGTTTGTGTTTAATTGTCTGTATGTATATATGTATGTATAGTGATGTGGAACAATATAATAAAATAGAATTAAATAATGATAAAAATTTTAACAACTATATTTCAGTAGTTCTGGTGTATGGTTTATCTAATTGGTGAATTCAATATGTTCGTTTTCCCATCCAGATTGCTCCAGTCATTACTTTGAAAAATACCAAGATTTACCAACCAGAGAAGCTCACGCTGTGGAACATTTTACTATCAATGGAAGTCTTTTTCTTGCCTTCGCCAACTACGGAAGTAACATCGCCGAAAGATATACTGACTCTTTTATCTACAAGTTCAACGACTCGACTGGAAAATTCTTCCTTTACCAGACCATAGGCACAATTGGACGGCATGATGTGGAATATTTTACCATTTCTGGTGAACATTACCTTGCCGTTGCTAATATTGGAAATGCAAAAACTGGAAGACTGAACTCAGTTATTTATCGTTGGGATGGACAAAGATTTGTTGTCTTTCAAAACATTTCAACGATAAGAGGAAGCAGCTTTCATTTCTTTAAAATCGAGAAAGAACTTTTCCTTGCCGTATCCAACCTTTACGACACCAAAAAGGAAAGAATAAACTCAACTATCTACAAGTGGACAAACATCTTTGAAAAGTATCAGGAGATACAGACAGAGGGGAGCCGTGCAAGTGCTACGATTGTAATGAACAACGAAAGCTACATTGCTTTTTCGAACGACGCTGCGCCATTTTGGGCTTCTGCATCGTCATTCGTTTATAAGTGGTCAGGGAAACACTTTGTCAAACTGCAAACTCTTAAAACGTATAGAGCAATGGATGTGAAGTCCTTTTACATTAATGACCACGCGTTTCTGGCTATATCTCGTCAAACAGAGGGAAAACTCGACTCCAGCTCGTTCGTTTACAAGTGGAATGGCAGTCACTTTGTCCTGTTTCAGTCCATTCCTACTCGTGGCGCCAGGGCCTTGCATTCATTTGTCATGTGTGGTCAAACGTTTCTGGGTGTGGCTGATGAGGACAACACAAAATCCGTGTTGTATCGGTTCTCTCAGGACAAGTTCACTAAATATCAAGAGATTCCAACCAAAACAAAGCCGATCGATATGAAGTCATTTGAATACAAGGGTGATACTTACCTGGCCATTGCTATGAGGAATACTGAAAGCACCCTGTACAAGTGGACTTAAAAATAATGCACATACATGTACAACAATTAGTACTGAAATGAGTTCACGGTGGCTCTCACCGTCATTAAACAGCCCATGATCCTCGTGGAAGGACCGGACAGAGACTGGAATATTTCAGCACTAGTAAACAACATTTAAAATTACTAGAGAATGAGTAAAGACGTAAGACACGTTAGCCTCTTTTTGGCCGAAAAATATCGCAATACCGCAAATTGACCTGTCATGCCTGGAATATCCTGAAGTACATGTAACAAGTGTTTTGGACTCCGCATAATTTGTAAGTGCCACTGCACGATGCGCCCTTTGGTAAAAAATATATTTAGGTACTGTTTAATTCCCCAAGACTAGAGAGGAATGTCGATGTAATCATTTGGACTGCTGTACACATGCGAGGGTCCAAACAGTCGAGAATAGTCTACCAGAATTGAAATTACAGTGTTGTTGTGGTATTTGCTCTCAAGAAACATTATACAAGATGTGATATATATTTAGTTTAACCCTCGGATGTACACGCAAATTCATACCCCCCCCGTGGTACATGGCGGGGGGGGGAGGGGTGGGTGGAACCCCTCCCTGGAGTTTTTAATATGTGGCAGTATTTTGAAACGATTTTACCTTTAGTG